TCAATAGTTTGACAGTATCGCAAAATATCGATGAAATTAGCTGTCTCTTGCTGTGACGAATGTAACAGCTTACAAAATGCATTCACGTCGCTACCTCGAAATCGTAAATACCGATATCGGCGGAGAATCGATACCCATCTTTCCACGTTTCGCGAGTAAAACGACATGCGATCTCGTGCTTTCCGCTTTGATAAACGTCTCGACGTTTCTCCGATAACATCCGCGTCTTCGGCCACCCACCTGTGTTTACTTTATGCATGTCTACATTATGTCATACATAACAATAGCAACGGTACAAGGGACTTCAACGCGATAGACTGCTGAGTGTCTACAACCCTGCAGTTCTCACCTCCTCCGGAGTGATAACGTTCGAGACGATAATATTATCGATCTTGTCGAAGAGTCGAGAACGGATTCTCACTTTAGGCCGGGAAATGAGATTAACGTTACTTAGACGTTCCTTTCGTCGACAATAGCAGGGAGTGGCGCGCAATTAAGCCAATCCCTCAATCAATTCGGAATACCTTCAACGCGTGAAAATTGATTATTCCAAACACAGTCGTCCAAAAAGTTAATTAATTTTCACCGCAATGTGCTCTCCGCTTTTATCGCGTTTTTACTTTATGCTTTCCAGTCGTGACTCGTCACGCCGCAATTTTCACAGAACTTTTACAATGACGCTCTTGTAATGTCCAGTCGAAATGCAACAATTGCATTTTTATCGGTTTGCATTGCACTCACGCCAAATATCCCTCGGGGCACGGCCGCTGATTTTCGCTTGTAACTCACCGTGGCTTTCATATTTGCTTAGGTCGACGGTGTATTTTGCTCGCGGAATAAGTAATTTTGCAGCGCGATGGTATCGGCCGTGAATACAAGCGACATAATAAACTGCACGTATTACGCAATTAATTTTTTTCACAAGAGACCAATTATTTTCTCATTGCTCGAGAAAACACATATTATGATAAAACAAAATGATAGAAAAACGGAAATAAAACGGAGAGATATAATTTTTATTGCTTTTTACAATTTCCACAAGTTTATCCTTAATTATATAGGTATTTATTCGAGTAGCGCGTGACGCGTATATATTGACTTGTCAATTTCGCGCACGCTATCTATATTTAAGGAAAACACGAAAGAGCGAAATCTGATCGAATGCACGTGACTGCCAGCTGCGAGAAAGGCTTGCAGACTTTCATCCCCTCGTAAATCGCTAATTAACGTAGTTGCAAAGAAACGTGAAAGTAAATATGTCGCGGTATAATAGGCAACGGAGCATTTAATACCGCATCGAGAAACCGTCAAAGGCTGATGAATTACGGTCCTAATTAAAGACGCCACACTAACGACAGTGCAAACGAAATTGATGATGAAGTTGTTTGCGGCGCGCGGAAGAGGACTTTACGGCGTAGCGTAAAATCTTGGCGGTAAGGAAAACAGGTGCGAGGCGAGATAACGTACGTTACTTTGTTCTTTCGCGCGATATTGTCTCCTCTATATATATCCAGAACATTCCTAACGGCTCGCGCTTCCCCCATCTACTTTGCAGCCTTATTGTCCACAAAGAGCCCTGCGAGCAGTATCGCAGGAAAACACGCGTATATAACGCTGCAACAAATAAAGAATTCCAAGACTGCGGAAAGTATCACAAAGTGCAGCGTAATCGCTCTAAATTTTTCATTTCGAACAGAGATAATATAAAAATAACACCCACAATAAGAAAATATAAATAACTGTTTCTTGTTACATAATTTCTCCGAGTAACGATTTGCAAACCTTGGCGTTTAATTTCTTAGTCGCAGAAGAATTGAATTTTTAACCCGTTAATTCTCGGCTCATTAATTCAATCCGCTTTAACGGCACGTGCGCCCTTTCGTAAGTAAGCACGTATCATAAAGCTTGGTGCTTGAAACACGGCGGCAACTTTACGGGAGTGCACACTTCATCGCGACGGCGGCAGCTGCTGGCCGTTTCCCGTGCGACGACCTGGTTAGCACAGCACGGCTTCTGATTTCATTCGCACAAAATAATGCGCCAGCCCGAGGCGGGCTAATAAGCGACGAGGAACAGCGCCGAGGCAAGTAGCGACTTATGAACTGCAAACAAGTCCGGCAATAACGTCCATCCAATAAGCGTGCGTCTAACAGCGTGTTTCTCTTTTCTTCTACCTCGCTTTTCCCGCATTTTACTCATCTCCGTCGTCTAAACGCCCTCATTAAACGCACGCACCGAGATTGCTGCTGCCCCTCGACAATATCCATTTTCTCAGTGTCAATTTCATAACCAACCCATTCTTTTTTATCGCGGCAAATAAAATTTTTTTTCTCTCTTTTTTGCGAAATTTACAATTTGCATGCTAAAAATGCGTTCAAAGACAATACCTGCTCAAGCTTTTTCCTTTAAAAATCCATCAGTTTTATCGTGGCGAGAAAAACACTTCGTTATTCATACAGCTGTGCTACTTTGTAGATGACAATCTCTAGAATCTTATTAAGGGTTAATGTTCTCATCACGATAGCAATGTAATCCTCAACTCTATTTTACTTTTATATTGTTTTGTGATACGTTTTACCTCGCGATATGTGCCAGTAAAAAACAAAACAATGTGAAATTTTAATAAAACAACACCAATTATTATTCGGAAATCTGATCATTTTTATAAAATATAAAGTTTGAAGCCAAATGTTCAATACTCGTCATATCAGGAAAAAACAAGCGTATTTCGTGCGTATTTTATATTTTTTATCTTGCCGTATATTTTAATTTTTTTAAATATACAGCTTTTTACATCGATGAAAATTGACAAACATCCCGAACTTAATATTCAATACAAACAGAAAAAGTTCAACTTTTTCTCATCTCTTAAGTGTTTTTGCGATGTGTCGTATTGCGCGACGGTGAGACGCGTGTCATTTAGCCAAATCGTTCAGAAGTACGACAATCATTCATGCTGTCGCGCTTTTGCGACAATGAATGTAACTTAATCTTCGATTCCGCTGTCAGATAAGCCTTTCATTATTCGAATGTCAGTATTCAGTCAAAAACTTCATTTTCTCGATTTTCTCGCGCTATCAATGACGTCACGCACGGCGCAAAAAAGGATTACCATCGTCGTCGGAGCATCGGATTTTGGAGAAACGAGTATATCGAACGACTCTGTCAATTTCGAAGAAAGAAAAAAGTCGGTGTCTTTCGCGAAATCTTAAAAATTGTAGCAAGCACAGTAAAAATTTATACGATTTATACGTGTGCTTCGGTTGCGCGATTCCGCGATCTCACAATTAATCCTGTGACAACCGAATGAATTCTGGAATCCGCCCACGGATTCTGATTCATCAATTTTTCACTTGTCATTCCATCGTTTCTCAGAATACATTTTATCCGTTGTAATTTCGAAAGGGATTGTGTGATTACAATTTTGCCGAAATTGTAGAAAGTTTTAAATTTCATTATTTTACTATAAATTACACAAACAACTTTATAAAATTTTAAATGTAGTAGAAAATAGCGAATGTACCAAAAGCATACAAAGAGAGTAAGATTAAGTACAAATAGATTTAGGCTCTGCCCTTTATATACTATTAACGATTATCTTCTTTGTCGCCCACGATGCGTAGCCTACGCAATTGCTCACACAAATTGAAAATTTGAACAATCACGGTTAATAAAAAATTATTCTATGCGAAAGTTATATGATTCTAACTGAATAGGAGGTAAAATATCTCTATCTACATCAATTAAAACAGTTTTTGTTCAAAGCTATGCAAATTTCACGAAGCAAATATAATTATGTTTTATAATTTAGCACATTTACAGTACCGTAATTGAAGGTATATTTGTACACCCCATTGCGCCAGTCATATTCTATTGAAATAATAAATTCCGAGAAGATATTAACTCAGCGAAACCTACAGAAAATGAAATATGCAACAAGAATAATCGCGTAACTACACCGCTATTTTTTGAAAAATTCTATTTTTTTTCTTAGTGTTTTAAAATGTTTAACTGAAAATGTATATATATGACAAGTTTTACATTTTGTAATGAATTTAATAAAATTCTATGACAACTTGGTTTATTGTATATTCATACAAGAATATAAAAATAAAATTAAGTAAATAATACGTTTTACGCACGACGGCCAAAGCTAGTATAATTTAATGAAACAGAATAAAGAAGATGTAGGAGTTTAGGATAACAATTTTGTCCTTAAAATCCGCTCACCTGTTGCTACTATCTTTAAAGAAGTTCTTGTTAGATAAGTTAAGAAAAAAATTGCTTCTGAAGATTTAAAAGTACTACGCGCGAGCAATTTGCGACGAAACGTTCGCAGAAAAAAATTAAATTTTACCAAGTTAATAAATACTTGCGACAGGAAATAAATAAATCTTTTTAATATTAATCTATTCTAGGAAATGTTTTAAATATTCTCACACGTGAATGCGAGTTTCGAATTGATTGAAAAATGTAATCGGTTTGTAAAGGATTAAAAAGAGGTTTAGAGTAAAATAATTTAACAAGCCGCGAGAAAATATTGTGTTATACGTCGCATGGGTGCGGTCAAAGAGAAAAAAACTGACGAAAATCATGTTTAGTCGGTCATATTCATTACAGTTTGAAAGCTCATACTACGAAGTACGATATCGCGTATATTTGTGATAACTTTATCGCACTCAATAAACCCTCTTTGCTTTCATGCCATTCGCTATCGGTGTACACGCTTGATCAAAACTCTAACGTATTACATGCCAAACTTTGAAGTTTTTTCATCTTTAGTTTGATTGCTACTATCGAATGCGATGCGGTATAAAAATAGAGCTTCTGATAAGTAAAATTCAGAATCAATCATGATGAGAAATCTAAACTTTTTACCGCGTAAAAAAGTGCAGTTATGAGATAAGCGTGAGATCGGGATGAAAGAAAGTACAATAAAAGAGGACTGGAGAGGACAAGAAGACGCACAGAAAGGTGTGTTTTGGGATAAAGTTGCTCACCTGTTGCTGTGTGTAACTACCGGCGCAAATCTGCGGATTCTGTAGATGAGATGAGAGAGAGTGCACAATATTTTCGCGGGCTGCCAGAAGACGGAGAACTTGCAGTCGCGCGTTTCTTCCGGGGGACAAAACTTTTATTCGCACGGGATAAATGTGTCCGCCTTCCGTTCGTTCTCACGTGACTGCGAGAGAGAGTGCTAAACGGGGGTAGTTGCCGACGACGACGTCCGTCCGACACCACCGCAACTTTGGTGTCTGCGCGCGGGAATGACGGCGAAAGCGTCGCGACGCCGGCCTTTATACGTGTGTGCGTCGGCGCCTGGGCGTGTGTGCTGTCGGAGATCACCGTGTCTTTCTCGCTCTTCGGACCTGCGTGTCTACCTACCTCGTTCTCTCTCAGGGCGTCGTGACGCCTGTCGCTTGTGTGTGCGTGAGTTCACGTCGACGGAACGACGCATGACGCCACGCGCGGTCCTCAGATCGCCCAATTGCAACGGCGAATCCGCTCGGCGGAGAGGAAAGCGGGCGGAAAAGCCGTAGGTCATATCACTTTTTGAACTCTCCGCACCTGGATAATGAACTTCCGGTGCGCGCTGCGGACGTCACTTTGTATTTGCGAGCGGGCGTGACGCTTCGTTTGATTCTAATTTCGCGCGACTATTATCTAACAGAGCGGAGGAATTTATCTGAAAGAGAAACGTGAATAAAGTAGAACTTCAATCAGTAAGCTCTGACGCGTGATATTGATGACACGATCAATTTTCGTAATGCGCCTAGTGTTGCAAAAGTTTGATGGAATAATAAGCTCGCATCTGCGAAATACACGCGCACGCCGTTGAAACGTTAAAAAACAATTATTACAAAATACTATCTCAAATGAACCGACATTTCTGCATATTTTAAATCTTCCCTTCAAATGAGAGGTAGATTGCTTTCTTATCGGATTACGCCTCGCACTTCGAATGCTTCCAGTTTTCATTTCGCGGAAGCTCACTTTTGTCATTTCCGTTTCGTAACTTTCCTGCAGCGAACAATTACTACATCATTTCACATTTCTCGAAAGCAATCTGTGTGCGTGTGTGTATGTGTGTGTGTGTGCGTGTGTGTGCGCGCATATAGAAGATTCTCCGTCGCACGAAAGTTTCCCCATAAGCTGCGCTGCTCGTGCGATGCAGGAGGACACCCCGAGGTAAATCCGCACGATGCGGTTAAGCGTTTATCGCCGCACGGTGGATACACGGCTACGCATCAACCGCTTGCGGCTTCACCACACCACACGGGCTTTCCGCGGGATTTACTGCTAAACCGCTCGTAAACGAGGCGGACTCATTGCCCAGCTCGCTAGCCAGACTCTCTGCCGCTTGTCATCGTAAAAGTGCCCGTCCGCGAAAAGGCCAGAACGCCTCGTGGAAAATGAGGAAAATCCATGCAAAGGATGCGCATCTGCATGTTTTACTCAGCGACGAGTAGCGTGAGCAAAAAAAATCGCGTTTTACCTGACAATAACGCGGGACTTTCCGGCAGGAAATTGACGAAAGCGGGGAAAAATCAATATTAATAAAAAAAAAAAAATGTCAAAAAAAGACGATTAAAAAAAATTGGAAAAAGTAGATTTCACGTTGAATTCAGCAAAAGTATATCTTAAACAATGCAATTCGATTTTCTTTACAGTATACAATTATTTCTGCGGATAACAAAGCAACGCCGATATTTTAAAGTACACACTGTACTTCATTAAGGCAAAGCAAAAATTATTGTGCAGTTTAAGATAATTGTTTACTTCAAACGTTGATTTACGCATGCAAAATATACGAAATTTTTATTCGAGTTTTATTTGTCAGTTATTAGCAGAAAGCACTAATAAATAAACGCGAATTATAATATTTTTAATATGAAGGTAATATCGCATTTTAACGCACACGCGCGTTACCGATATTTATAAACTAACAATTCCACGTAGCAACGGTTTCAATAAAAATTGCAAGATATTTACACATGGATGCATCTGGGAAAACATCTATGTATTTGCCCGTTTCTATCGGAGGGCAATGAAAAGTAAATTTAACTGCTGGTCCGCTACATCGGAATGAACGCTGGAACGAACGTCTCGCATAAAAGCTGATTCACGTGGAAAGAAGTGGGAAGAAGATTCAAAGATACGTAAGCCAATAGATTTTATATTGAATACGCAATCGCACCGATGCATATACCGTTCTTTTGAAATTATTAGAAATTAATAACGCGAATAAAAGAAAATTACGCATTTCTTCTCTTTCTTCAAAGCCTTTCGATATCGACATCACTCATCTTAGATTATTCTTGAAGGCGTGGAAAAAAATATGGATAATTCTCGCAAAGAGCGAGAATGAAGCGCGAGGAACGCGGAGTATTTTCGGAACGTGCTATTTCGCACGTTCGCCATCGCATTTTTTTTTTTTCCTACGTAGAACTGTTAAAACTGTGATATACTTGGGGATGCGTTTAGCTCGTCTTCTATCCGGATTTATCTGATAATTCGATGCGCATTGTCTCACACGAAAAAGCGCGTGTAAGCGCGATAAGAATGAAGAAAAAAGGCTGCGCTGCACTTCGCATAGTAATAGTTCTGACGTGCGCTTTGCAGAAGTACGCGGCCTGATATCGCGCGATACGTGATAATAACGGAGCGAGAACGGATAGGCTCGAG